GGCCCTGAGGTGGCGCGGTGCCCCGTTTGGGAGGCGGGGGGTCCGGGGGGGCTGCGGGGGCCCGTCTTCCATGGGGACCCCCGCCGCACCCCGCCCGCCGCCCGAGGAAGCCTGGCCCGTCTCCTCCTCTCGGCGGCCCCGCAGGCTGGGAAAGGCTTAGCCCGTTCGGGTGACGCAGGTCGGAGGCACCTGCAGGACAGGTAAGCGGCCAGGTGGCCAACCAGGAAGTTCCCCGCCTGAGGCTTTCCTTTCCAGCCCTCGGAGGGCTCCCGGGCCCGGGCTGGAGGGAGACCCCGCTGCCAGCCTCCTCGCGACACCCCTGCGGGGTTGGAAGGGAGCCCTGCGGCTGGTGGGACTCGCACCAGGTTTTGTAGTGCGGGACAGCGATGGGGCTCCTGCCCTGCACTGCCCGCGTGAGACCCTGTCTTTGGCGGGTGGTAGAGTTGCACAGCCACAGGGGTGCACGCGCTTGTCTTGTTGGCCCGGCAGAAACATGGCCGAGGAGCTGACGAAGTTCTCCCTGATGTTTCAGCGTTGTCAGAAACCCGGGAGACGGAAACAGGTTTATCCTGGAACTTGGAGTAATTTAAGTGCTTTTTAAAACTCTTCCTGGGAACCTCGGATAACTTTGAGTCTCTCCTCTGGGACCCCCACCGACCAGATAGCAGACTTCATGCTCTTGGTGAGAACATGCTTGGGAGTAGAAAAGCAAAACCGTGCATGGGATTTAAATCTTGCCCTGGCGCTGGCCTCCGTCGGCCGCTTTCTAGCCAAGGGTGGTAGTTATGGGGAAAGTTTGGAGGAGTAGAAAGGGAAGTTATTTGCAGGAGGAAAGGAAAGAGTGTTGTGGCCTTTAAAGATGAACCTATTTATCGCAGAATGGACTATGATCCGTGAACTTTATCAGGTGTGTAGAGTATACTTCCGAGAAAGGATACTACAGAGAGCTGTTGTGGGGAGTGAAAGACAAAGGAGGAGGGAGGGGTGAGAAAAGGTGTGTGGCAAAATTGCCTAGAGAGGATGGTGGCTGTTAACCAAACTGTGTTTAAGTGATACAGACTTCACTGAGTTAGGAAACTATTTAGGCTGTGCCACCAGAAAGCTTGGTCTCTATTTAATCCCTGAGAATGACATTGAATCTAATCAATTTTAGGTCAACTGTTTCCTGATGACATTGGTCTTTATCATGCCTTTTCTCAAAGGAATTGGCTGGTTTATAAGGTGGTTGTGAGAAGGGCTAAGCGTGCAAGAAAAACACTGTTGGCTTCAAGAATGCTGTGTCGGGAGCAGGGTTTAGCGTGATGATGGTAATGTTTCAGGGAGGCCTCAGAACAGTGGACTTCAGCTTCCCTGCGTGTGTGTTTCTGGGTATGAAATAGGATGCTAATGCTGGCTTATCTAAGAGGATTATTGCAAGGTGAGAGAATATGGGGGAGGATTGTGAGGAGGGGTACAGCAAGATGCTTGACGACTTTGGAGAGGTCCCAGGGATGCAGGAAAGCGAGGATGCTGGTGCAGAAGCCGCTTATACAGAAGTTAAGAGGAGCATATGGGCCCTGTCTCTTATGAACCAAATCGTGGCTGCTTAGCTCACAATAGTTTGAAATGACTGTAGCGGGTCTTGATGGTTTTTGGCTGGGGACTTTCCAAACCTCAAATAGGGACTCTGGGACTTTCTGCCTGAAGAACAACTGCTCTGCAACTGAGGCATGATTCTTGCCCTAAAATAACGTACACGTCTGGTCCATATGGATTCCAAAGAGCAGGCTGAACTGAGAACTTTCAGCGTTTTAAGCTGATTGTGTTCATGCATTGACATAAGCCGTAATTAGTTGGTTTGGTTTGAACTTAGCCTGTTACAGGAGCCCAGCTTTTTTAGGTTTGGTTAAGCTAAATTATGGTTTTGTGCACTATGTGGACTCAGTCTCTGATTGGTGCATGTTGTCAGTAGAATGTACTGACTTTGAATGGCCCTTTGGACTCTTTTTTCCCAGCCCTTCTTGGAGTTGGGTATTCTTCTGGCTGGCTTGTAATCAGTCAAGAATCAAGGGATACAAGGGACAGTGTGAAATAAAAGTGAATCTGAAGCTAAAATAGGATGGGATGAAACTGGCTGATCACGAGAGGTTCTTTTTCTTTTTTTTAAACGGCTGTGAGCACTTCAGAGAAGGAGAGGAAAATTGAGGAAACAATGGGGAATCTAAAGTTGGTCTAGATGTTAGAGGTCTTGGGGTTGGAGAAGATTGATAGCCCCTTGCACTCTCTTTTGACATGGCAAAAATTCTGTGCAGGGAGCTTTTGTAATTCAGAAAAGTGATTCTTGTGTAATGGTCACAAAAGTGATTGTAAACCTAATATTTTGCATGATCAACCCCTAACTAACATTTATGGCTGAGTCAAATGCTTATTTTCTCTCCTTTGCAATACTGGAGAGTAGATGCCACCATTGGAAAAGGTCTCCTAGGACTTGTGAGGAGCATGGTGGAACTCTGCCTGAAAAGCTGGCATTCCCATGTTTAAAATGAGGAATTGAATTAAGTGGAACATCTGCTGCTAGTTGGTGGAGAGCCATTTTACCATTCTGGGGTAGCTTTAAAAGTGCCCTCCTTGGCAGTGGTAGACCTTGCAAGGGAGCAAGAATATGCTTTGGATAGCTGTAAGGAAGTTAAAATGTCCCCACCTGTTCATGCCACCAGTCCTTGAACTCTCTGAGATCTTGAAGTTGATGACACGCTAAGTGGCAGTGGCTTTTAAAAAAACATAACTCTCTGCCTGAATAAGCAGGTAAACTCCTTAAGCTTTTACCCAGTCAGAGAGCAATTAAACTAAAAAGACTTGGGGGGTGGGGAATGGAGCCCAGAGAGGAGGTGTGGTAGAAAGCCCTGGGAGAACCTGAGCTGAGGAACATGGGATCTTCAACTCCCGCAAGGTGGAAGCTTGTTCTGGGAAGGGGCAGGTGAGCAGAGAAAGGAGAGGAGGCGGTGAGCGGGCTGATGTGCTTGGTCTTGTCTGCCTTCCAGGGCTTCGGAGGGAGGGGAGTTGGGTGGGGTCCTCTTTCCCATTAAGCCCTGAAGAGCTCAAGGTTGAGAAAGAAAAAATGAGTTGCCCACTTGATGGATTTCATGAAACAGCAGCTCTGGCAGAGAGGGAGGGTGGGGAACATGCAAATTTGTACTGGTTCAGTCTCCCTTCCCTGCTTTTCTTTGGCATGGAGGCCAAGAGTGGAGGAGGCTGCTCAAAGACTGATTGTTAATGCTCCCCCAATCTCCACCCTTCCATTTTCTTCAGGCCTGTGTCTCCACTGTTCGTGCTGGACCCAGAGGGCTGAATTAGAGAATGGTTGCGGAGGCCTCCTGGGGCCACCGAACCAGGATGCTCCCGAGGCGTGCACTGGGGTGGGTTCTCCTCCTCGTGGAAAACCAGCCTCTTCAGCTTTTCCACCAGACAGGCAGCCAGAAGGACCAGGATGCCTTTGTTTGGGGCGGCTGCCCTCTCGTCCAGCCAGCGGAGTGGAGAACCCCAGCCTCTCTGTGGATGACTGTTGTCCTGGTTCCTGGCCTGCAGCCTGCAGAGTTTTGGCCTTTTTTCAGCAACTGCTGCCGTGGTGGAAGCAGCAGCTGCCAGGATTTTCCTGTTGGGGAGCTGCCTCTGAACAGGCAACCCAGGTAGGGCTGAGAAGCACACCAGAGACTTGTTGCCAGTCTGGGCACTGATATACAGAGCAAGATGGACCAGCAGTCTGATGTGGGAGAGGCAGCTGGAGAATTGGGCCCCTGCTTGTCCTGTTACCCGGTTCAGATAGACACGCTAACCAGTCCCCGAGTGTGCTCTCTTGCCTCGGTAGAAATATCTAAGACGTTAGATTGATACGTCTGCAGGACTTGAAAGGGGTTAAGCGTGGAGAGCGGGTGTGACTGAGAGCAGGTAAACATTGCTGCAGAACGGGGCCTTCCAATCCAGCACTCAAAGTTGTAGGATTGGGCGATGCTGCAGAGAAGCCAGAGATCTTGTTCCTTGTTTCATGGTTACTTACTTTCCCAGCCTCCAGACCGGTGTTTCTCAACCTTGGCAGCTTGAAGATGGGTGGACTTCAACTCCCAGAATTCCCCA